ATATCAGGGCTATTGCTGCCAACTTTTAGAACCACTGCAATATTTTGTTTTTAACCAAATGATTTTATGTATTCATTGCAGTTTATTACAAAATTTGAGCTATGTTGTATTTCCGCATCCACAATCATACATTAGATTGTTGTACATCTTTACAATTAAATATAATGTACACTTGATGAAAACAATTTTAAAATTGAATCCTTTTTTTTAAACACATGGTATAGAAGCAACCACAGAAGAAGAAGAAAACCCGAGTTAATTTAAAGTTTGTGTCCACAGGTATAGATATCCCAAAAGAAAAGTTCGCAGCATTGCAGCGACTTGAGAAAACCACTTTATACAACATTATACAATCAGGTATGAGGATTTTAATGAAATAATGTTGTTGGTTGGATACGGTGCCCCTTATTCTTCTTTTTTGTTTCTTCTACTAAGGTCCCACGATCAATGCATTCGTCGTTATTGCTCCTATGTATGCAAAGGGGATTCGCACTACTTTTGAGCTCTATGTTAAAGATTCCTAGAAGAGTCGTGGGCGATATGTTTTAAATTGAATGCGGAAGTCACGTGGGAGCATTGTCATGAAAAATTAAAGTAGTATAGTACATATCGTACCCTGAAACTAAGATCAGGTTTCTGTTTTTGCTGTTATCACAGATATGTGATGTTTAGTTTGGGCTGCGGATTTGCGTGGGGGGGGGGGGGGGGGGGGGGGGGGGGGGGGGGGGGGGCGGGGGGGGCATAGAGCCATGTACACATCTCATAGCTATCTATTTTTTTTAGATTTAATTATGGTCTATATGTTATTCTATTTCAGAAAATGATAAACAAAACATGTGTTCCTCTTGCTCCAACATGAACAACTCTTTACAGAAAGTTTAAATCTTACAGTTTGACAAACTTCTATACGTTTCAAATGACGTAGATTTTATTATTTTGTGTGTGTGTGTGAAAATTAGATTTTAAAACATTCCATATAATGGCAACTCTTTTTGAAACACACTGTTATGAATAAATGAATCGATTTGCTTGAAAGATGATCTTTTGAGAGAACTGATCTTATATAAATACTTTAATGATACATGTCAATTGATTGTTTCTATTACAAAAGGTTTCCTATGTTACTTTAACGTGTCTGTATGGCCATTGATGAAGTAACTATTTACGAAGATCATGATGTGAGTGCTTAATCAATGCCCGGTTTATAATTTGTTCACTGGTAGCATTATACTATTCTATTCATGTTTTATATTTAATATGTAATACTGACTATCAGATTCTTAAATCCAAAGGAAATACTTTGAATCTTAAATAATAATGTACTTTAAAAATGTAAATTTTATTATCTGCTCTTTACTTAAATCTATTTTCACCCGAGTCACATCGCTATAGACGTGATGCCGCAGTTTATGTATTGTACATTGTTCTAGCTGCACTAATGACGCATGACAACAGACCATGAGCTTCTACTACTCAGAATCTATCGTGAACATTACATTAAATCTAGGGTCTGATTTTGTGTAGCACGTCAGGATTTTAATTTATGTGTCTTCACGTGAGTATTACAGTGTGTATAATGCAAATAAAAATACACAACTTGTAGTAGCATTTTACATATGACTATCCGCGGAGTAGTCATAACAAAACATGTCTCTCTGTTATAAACTGAATAAATATAAGAAGGATGCTGGGTGGCCGAGTGAACTAAACTAGGCCAATCTCAAGTTCATGTTCTGGAGCTCGATCCCCCACCAAAGCCCGGTCAAGCAAAAAACACCACAGGCATACCATGACTCGCTGACCTTGGATGGCAACTCATCTTAGAGAAGGAATCCCTGAATTAAAACCCGGAGATGGAGTCCCGTAGGCGGATAACATTGACACAACGAAGCGTTCCGACAACTCCTGCGACGTCACTGGTGCCAAGCTGTATCATCCACATCATATTCCCTTGGGTTATCCAGCGGTGTGGGCAGAGGCAATTTGCTGTAGGGAGCCAGCTTCTTATCCTAGCAGAATAAACCCAGGCCTTGGGAATTTTGTCCTGCGAAATCTACACCATCGTCTCACTGTGACGGACGGATGCCAGCAAAATAAAAGTATAACAAAAAAAAACCAAGATCTCCATTTAACGTTAAAAAAAAAATTTCAATTCAAATATACTCAGATTATTAAACAGTGATAGGGAATTGCTGTTTTTTTTCCCTGCCAATCAAAATAATTTAAATGCTCTATAAATACATATGGCATTTTATATTTAAATATGTATAATTATATATGTGTAAGTGTTATTAATTGTAAATTATAAATATTATTTTAATCATTTTACTTAAATTATCTGAATGTCAGAATTAAGATATAATCATCGATGTATTACCGTTAGTAATTAGTAATCACCTTGATCGGGAAACCCCAAAAACATTTTGTTGTTTTTTAAGTGGTATTTTTATAGGGAACAATTAAATGTAAATGTTTGCCAATAGCATAAGTGCTGCTATGCAGAAGGTGACAGAATCAATTGACATTTATTGATATTATTATCTATGAATTAATACATTAAATTATATGACCTAAAAGAATTCAGATTGAATTTTGTTTGTAGATCTCAGGCATGTTCATCAATGCGAGTTTATTTGGTTTAAATGACATTCTATTGGTACTGCAAGTTAATTTCATAATAAAGTTTGATTATAAGTACATTTTTTATTATAGTATAGTATTATTATAGTACCATAGTTAGCACACACTTAGGTAATCATCGTGAAGAAAGTTAAAGGTGCATATTGTATTTCGTTTTCAAAACATCTTTCCTCTTTCATGCTAGACTGCCAAGTTTAGATGTTGAGACAATAAAACAGATCAATGCATAATTTATTCGCATTAATCTAGAGATTTAACTGATAGTCTAATCAAAAACAGACTGAAAATCAGAACAGTTAGTTATATCTGTATGCAATAATATCAGCAAGGGGACCATTACCACGGTAACAATGGGTGAAAATACACATATTTATTCTCAGAAATTTTAATTTCAAGGTTATCCTCTGTTGTATTTTTTTGTCGGGATTATAAATTTCACTCTCATTTTTTTCGGTTCGGGAGGGTGGCAAATTGGGTAAGGGGAGGCAGTACTTTTGACAAGGTTTCATGTGCTTAACTGACATTCTTTCCATCATAGAAACTTTACAAGACTTGAATATTGGTTTATAAATAAGTTAAAATTAATTCTTCAAATATGAATTTTACTATTTTGTATTTTTACATTTCATGAGCAAAAAAAAAATTGTTTGAGGAACACATTTGAAATTGTATTTTTCCGAAGAAAAAAAAGAATTAAATACATTAAAAAATATATGTGACTACATTGAAATATTTAGCTCTTCGGAAAATATAGTTTATTAAGTGGTGAAAGTGAAGTTTAACATTATAGTGTTGTTTAGTTTAGAGAGTGCAAAAGGTGTGCAACATCAACACAGGTGTGTTAACTCATCAGGCTACTGGTATAATTCTTTTTAAAAAAATTTAAAAAACTTAAATAAAATAATATATGTGTAAAGGGATAGTGAAAATGCGATTTTTAAATATTTTCAAGGCGACAAAAATTACAATTATTGTATTGCTGGGTGTTCCAGACAGCACAGATTACGCCACAGAATGGCCGGGGGGCCCAGACAGCACACTGTATTGCTGGGTGTTCCAGACAGCACAGATTACGCCACAGAATGGCCGGGGGGCCCAGACAGCACACTGTATTGCTGGGTGTTCCAGACAGCACAGATTACGCCACAGAATGGCCGGCGGGCCCTAGAACGCACACTGTATTGCTGGGTGTTCCAGACAGCACAAATTACACCACAGAATGGCCGGCGGGCCCTAGAACGCACACTGTATTGCTGGGTGTTCCAGACAGCACAAATTACGCCACAGAATGGGCGGGGGGCCCCAGAACGCATACTCTATGTCGGTATAATTATATCTCAAAGCTCAAATATGTTAGATAATGAAAATTGTGTATATTGGTAGTTTTAAGACAACTAAAATACTGTTTTTAAACTTGTTCTAAAACACATTTAATACGTTGGATAAAATAACAATAGAATACAAGAATTATAAAAGAATATATTTTGTTAAAACAAAGTTTTAACTTTATGCTAAACTTGATTTCATCTTGAGAGCAGGGACGTCTTATTGTTAGAGCAGGTTGGAAAATTGCTATGTACTGTGGCGCCTCCAGTATTAAAGAACTTAACAAGCCGACAAAGTTTTAGTTTTGCCCGCCAACCAATGAAAAAATCTGAATTGACTCCCCTGCTTAAGAGACGAGCATTCTGACATGCACATAATATACACCTATGTTTTTTTTTAATGCCCATTATTGTGTAAACATTTATTTTTTATCTTCATACAAAATTTAACGGAAAATAAATAACATTTAATTGACATTATTTCCATCATATTTATATCACAAAACCCCAAAACACGACCAACTTGAATATCGGTATATATAGTACAAATATGTATAATAATTTTTCAAAGAGATTACATTTTAACATAAAGAAGAACTACGTTTGGAATGAGAAAAATGCATTTTGTTTTTATTTACATTTAACATCGAAACGGCTGCACACTTATATGATGTGCAATTTTTGTGATCAAATACAAGTTCAAATATGAATGATGTTTAACACAGTTTCATTGTCAAAGTCTTAACATGTCAAAATACTTTATAATGTAATTTTAAAACAAAAATAATACAATAGGAAAAAAAAATGTAAAATCGTATTTTAAATTTACTTATTCGATAATATTCATAAGGGTATTAAAGAAATGATATAAATATATATATATATATATATATATATATATATATATATATATATATATATATNATATATATATATATATATATATATATATATATATATATCTAAAAATATAATATATATATAATTTAAAAAAAATTATACAACTTTTTTGTGTTGACTTGTAAACGTAAAGGAAAATAAATATTTAAACTGTCTGGAAAATTTAGGACTTGTGGCGACGTAAATAATAAAGTTGACAAAAGAGTTAAATTGAAACACGTTTGTCATCACATAGTAGATGATTGTGGTTCTTTTTCTGTACGTCGGGAACAAATCTTCTCTAATCCAACTCAGCATACCGAAGATGGACGAAGGGATTAAGATGAAGATCATCATCGAAAGACAAACGTAGAGAGCAGTTTTGGTGGATTTCATCTCTTTGAGCCTTTTAGATGAATTCGTGTTAGAGAGTTTATTGAGATTCTTCCAACTCAGAGCCATCGTGCTCGTGATCATCACTGTGCTTCCGATGATTAGGATCATGGGAAGGGCATAGATAAAGAGTGCCGTAACAATCAGTCTGTAGTACAACAGTTGGTCCCAATGCTTCAAGTAGAAATCGGTGTAAGATACTCGTGTGTACGGCACGTTATTTCCGTCGTGATAAGTCGATGTGTACAGCATATTCAGAAAAGGAGAATTTATCGCGGCATAGAAGATGAACCCCAGAACAGTTATGACCCTCACGCGGAAACGTGTTACCAACCTCGCAACGTGAAATGGGAAGCAGACCGCTATCATGCGCTCGACGGCCACCAAGGAGACATAAAATATACTAACGAACAAAAAGATTTGATTCCACATGTAGACGTAGGCCAGGTAAAAACAATAGAAGGTGTACGACAGCCTCGGGTTAAAGTACAAAAGGATGTTGGGCATTCTGAAAACGAGATGGGTCGCCGAGACGAAGAAGTCGACCACCGAGAGGCTCAGCAGCAGAAAGCTGGTCGTGTCCTTGAACTTGGGGCTGGACAGCACGACGGCGTTGAGGATATTTCCAACGAGGCCAAAGGTGCACAGAACCGAGTTCAGAACGCAGTTGAGGAGAATGTCTATGGCCAACAGAGCTTCGGCACCGACGTCGTCGTCTACAATCATGTCGGTGGTTTCATTTCCAGCCTTTGCTATCGTCATCTGGGACGCAGCCATGAACCGTGTATACGTCATCAAGCCAGTCGTGTTCATTTTTGTGGTGTTTATTTGCTCGTTCCTAAAATAGTGAAAGTTTGTTGGATAATCTCTGTCACTGTGGACATAAAATTAGAAAAAGGATACTAATTAAAAATAATAATTGCTATTTTCTTCAAATAGTACTTTTATGACAAGAATTAAAAGCTATCGGTAATTGTTCTGAAATATATTTGTTCGAATTAAAAATTGTTAGAGCGGAAGATTTGTTCCACGTAAAAGTCGTTTAAATCTCTTAGCCAATTTCATCCCCTAGAATGTATCAACATGCGGGTGGAACTGGCCAGCGCCCCCCTACAATTGTTTACATTAGTTGAAGGACTTAGATGTGAAAACTTCTGCGGCCAATGCTTGATAAAATAGGTCATTCAAATTAGCTGTCCATCAATATTTTTATAACATTTTCAATAGCTAAACTACACAAGGCCAAAAGTGAACCATGGGCGCGCAATGAACGAAGATAATTAAGGCTATGAACGGCACTTAACACCGTAATGCCTATTTTGTGGACTGAGATTTGTTTTTTGTTTTTTTTATAGTTTTTTTCTTCAAATTCAGTTTTATATGTAATTTTCGTATATATAGCCTTTAAAAAAGTAATATATGACATACAAACTCACTTAAATATTATGGAGTTAACGCTCTTAAAAAAACCGGCTAGAGAAAAACCATCTGTTGGGCAGTGCCATATAAGTCTTTTAAACAAACCCTCTCTAACAACCCTGGTCTCCCCAACGTCGAGCTTGTATAGGGGGGGGGGGCGAGTTCACTTATGCTCTCATCTCAGGGTCTACTAAATTATTCTATTTTTTGTAATAAATTATTAGTTTTATACCGGTTCATTTAATTGAAACTTGTTTAAGTTATTCGTGTATTAAAAACATATTATTAAATCCTTTTTTTTTATCATCACATTCTTAACTATTCAAGCCAATATTTCTGTTTTTTTCACTTGTCCTGAAATGGATACGTTTGAGAACTTTAAAAAAATGCGTTCATAAAAAGTCTTGACAGCATTGCCTTTCTTAAATCATAGATATAGTTCTAGCAAAGCTTCCTTAACTTTTAGCATAACCTTTCTTATAAAAAGCCTTTGACTCGGAATAGTTCATTAAACCACACAGGGGGTGCAAGCACACTAGGATGATGTAAACATTTCGCGCACCCTCTTTATCCTTTATATACATATATATCTTTATATATAAATATTTGAAAATAACTGTATAAAATATTTTAAACATCAGTAACAATAAGTAAAACAGACATGATGTTTAAATTTCAGTATTGGTTTTATTTTTTTTTTTTTTTAAATGATGAAAGGCATTTAACGTGTCGCACCATTGTCGTGTTCCCCCCACACAAGTCCCTAGTTGACGGCGTGATCAATGAAAACACAAGTTAATTTTGATAAAAAAAGAATCCGAGTCTTTCTGTGATCAATATCAAATAGAAACAAATTGCACGTAAGTTGGCAAGTTCATTTGTCAGGACAATGAATTGACATTACACTGATCTCTTATTAGGCGAAACATGACATTGTCGCAGAAGATGCCCAGGGCACTTGTTTTCAAAATGAAATGTTTCATTTGCCTAGTAACATTACGATATTGATTGCTGTCTCCAGTCGTGTGTTGAATAATTAATTTAATGTTGAGAAAAACGTGTAGCAAGGGCCATTTACAGAACAAGTTAAATGTTGTTGGATGAAGTAATCTTTGTTGTACAAAGAAATAAATAGAATTAGTGGTATTTCATTTTTAATAACTTTAAGGCGCTGTTGACATTTTTTGGAGACACACAACATATGTATTTGTATGTCTGTATATTGTTTTGTTGATAATAATAATATCACTGTCGTTTTAAATAGTACTTTTGAAACAAATACATTCTTATTATATCTACTAGACTTTAAGAGGTAGAGATGAACATGAGGATGTAGAGAGAGAGAGTCTAAACTATGTCGACAAGGAAGGCAGGGAGATCACACAGTGAACACTGACAATTGATATGTGTGTAGCTTGGTGTGTGGGTAGATATGTGTGTGCGTATGCATATGAATGTATGTGTGCGTGTGTGTATGCGTGACTGTGCAGGAGCGTGTGTGTTTTTTGGCACGCGTCTCTGCGTGTGGTTGTTTAGATTTGTATTTCATGTTTATATCTTTAATTTATTCAAAGTGCGCGCGCACCATATAAACAAGTGTGTTTACATATAGTTTCGAAAATCGGTGATCAATGTTTGTCAAGGTTTGAAAAAAGGCATATTGAAATGAAAATAATCCTTTAAAATGACAAAATCCATTGTAGGAAAGCAAAAAAATGTGCAAGATAACAATAGAAAAAATTAAATTAACTTTAGTTACATCAATTAAAGCCCCCCCCCCCCCCCGTGGTTAAAAT